TGGAGTCTCATGCTGTCACCCAGGCTGGAGTGCCATGGCATGACCTTGGTTCACTGCAACCTCTGCCTCCGAAGTTCCAGCGATTCTCATGCCTCAGCCTCTTGGGTAGCTGGGATTACAGGTGTGCGCCACCACACCCACACCCGGCCAAGTTTTGTGTTTTTAGTAGAAGTGAGGTTTCTCTACCAACCTTGTCTCTACTAAAAACAAAGAGGCTGTTGGCCATGCTGGTTTCGAACTCCTGACCTCAGGTGATACGCCCACGTTGGCTTTCCAAAGTACTGGGATTAGAGGCTGGAGCCACTGTGACTCGCCCGAATAAACTATAGTATTTAAAAGTTGCTAGCTAGATAAGATAATTTTACTCCTTTTCAGTTTAAATACATTGTCTTTAATACCATGCCAGTCTCTTCCATGGATGTTTTTATCACCTCTTTTCAAGTACATTTATCATAGACAGATTAAGAGCAAGGTGATGTAAGCAGCTCAGGTTGTAATTGTCTCTAGGCAAATCAAGTTCTTAAAAAAATAACAATACAAAAAAATTGGAAGGTGTCAAAATTTGGAATGAGTTTTAAACTTTCATTTACTTCTAATAGCTTAACTACTGTCAAAATGAATCAGTCTGGAATTGCACCCTTACTTAATTAATCATGTGGAATTTCCAAGTAACATATCTGTGTTGTACATACTTGAAAAGTAAAATTCTTACTTCTTCCACTTATTATTTTCACCTCACTGTTTTATTGTTGCTAAAGTAGTTTCAGCCTCAAAATATATTATAAAAAGACCACCCAGTTATGTATACTTCTGTTTATCTGAGATGGAACAAGCTCATAGATAACTGAAATTTATCAGAGGGGCCAAACTTGTTTTTGTTTTTCTTCTTGCTTTTTTGTACCATTTCTCCCTCTTATAAGCTCTGCTTATGTTTTGGGATTTATTCAGGGACACTACTTTTAACATACCTTGTCTGTTGTAATATTAGGCAGTTATGAATTTTCATAGTTACAGTTGCTGTCACTTCATTAATACAAAGAAAAAAAAAGCCCATAGCTTTCAACATTTTCTTGGTTAGAGGACTTGGTATTTTGTATAGTTCCATTTGGATCAAATTCTCTTTTATTTTTTTCTTTGGAAATATTAGTACGTAATGTGATAAATGCTAAATAAGAGTGCTGTAATTACTTTGGTAATGGATCAAGTTAATATATAGTATAGAGCTACCAAATTAGGGAGACTGTAGCGTCAGTTTGAGTTTCTTCTTTATTGGGTATATATAATTCTCCAACATCATTTGAAATGTAAGAAATCTTCATTGGGCATCACAGTGTTACAGTTTAGTTTAAGTATATTCAAGTACAGTAAGAGATTTGCATTCTTAATGATCGTGCTCATCTTTATTTGGAATTAAATTATTAATCTTGGATTAGCCATGCAAGAAAAGTCACAGAAGTTGAGATAATTGAGTTTAAGGTAAAAGTTTACCTCAGAAACTTACCAGCTGTGTGATTATCAGCAAGTCATTTTTCTGGATTGCTTTTTCAGAGCTTTATGATGATATTATTTTATATTTTTATAACAAGCTTTTTTTTTTTTTTTTTTTGAGACGGAGTTTCGCTCCTGTCACCCAGGCTGGAGTGCAATGGCGCGATCTCAGCTCACCGCAACCTCCGCCTCCTGGGTTCAGGCAATTCTCCTGCCTCAGCCTCCTGAGTAGCTGGGATTACAGGCACGCGCCACCATGCCCAGCTAATTTTTTGTATTTTTAGTAGAGACGGGGTTTCACCATGTTGACCAGGATGGTCTCGATCTCTTGACCTCGTGATCCACCCGCCTCGGCCTCCCAAAGTGCTGGGATTACAGGCGTGAGCCACCGCGCCCGGCTTAACAAGCTTGTTTTTATAGATGGAAATTGTTTATATGTCTTGTGTTATTCAAAATGATTACATGAATACATCAGCAATTACTGTTTGGTAATAAATGTGATTAATTTAAAGTGACTATTTTAGATAACTACAAATGTACCTAATACATGAGAATAAATTTATAAATATAGAGAAATGCAGCCATACCATTGTGTGATTGAATCACTAATTGGTATTATACCATGTGATGTTAATTGTTCTCTGGTGTGAAGAGAGTTTCAATTGATGGAGTCATAACAAATGTTTGAAGATTTAAATTATTATCAAAATGGTAAATAATTAAATACCTTTAAAAGAATTAAAAACATGAACTTGCAGTATTAACATATATACTTGAAAAATTAATTCAAAACTAGTTGAAACATTTGCTAGTTAATTACCTAAAAGATGAGTTAAATGAAGAAAAATGTGGAAATATATGGAAGTCTTTTGCCCATTGTTTAGAAGTTTATAGAACTCAAATGAGTGATTTGAATATTTTCCACTTGATATTGGTTACTAATTTGTAGTACCTTATTGAAATGCCCTGTAGGCCAGGTGCAGTGGTTCATGCCTGTAATCCCAGCACTTTGGGAGGCCAAGGCAGGCAGATTGCTTTAAGTTAAGAGTTCGAGATCAGCCTGGCCAACATGGCAAAACCTCCTCTCTAGTAAAAATGCAAAGATTGGCCAGGGATGTTGGTGCATACCTGTAATCCCAGCTACTTGGGAGGCTGAGGTATGAGAATCACTTGAACCTGGGAGGCTGCAAATGCTAATGTAGTTACAGTTCTTTTAAACATTTGTATGTATTCTGTCTGATGATAAATGTATTCTGAAATATAGGATGTGAATTTTAGCTAAATTAGTTTGAAATGTCATTTTAGATGGCATTTTAATTAGTTTTATGTTAACTAGGACTTTGGATTGTGAGACCTTTTCCTTGTGCTCTTTTTGGCTGCTTAAAAATTATTTCTTTACATAAACATGAATGCACATGCATACATGTGGGCAAACAATGTGTGTAGTGTGATCCCAGGTTTAGCATTTCAGCTATAGAAGTCATACATGATAAGTTATGAAATTTTAAATACTGAGTGACAGAGGGAGATTCTGTCTAAAAGAAGTGAAAAGCCCTGTAAATATACATTATGCAAATTAGATAATAGATTACCAAGTTAGGGAAAAATAATTTAAGCTTTTCTCAAATTTTTATTTTTATTTTTATTTTTAGAGACAAAGTCTTACTTTGTTGCCCAGGCTTGGAATGCAGTGGCTCTATCATAGCTCACTGTAGCCTAGATCTCCTGGGCTCAAGTTATCTTCCCACGACAGCCTCCTGAGTAGCTGGGCTATAAACACTCACAACCATACCTAACTGATTTTTTAATTTTTATTTTTAGTATAGATGAGGTCTCACTGTGTTGCCCAGACTGGTCTTAAACTTCTAAGTTTAAGCAATCCTCCCACCTTAGCCTCTCTAAGTGTTGAGATTATGGTCATGAGCCATGGTGCCTGGCCCATCAGTCAAATCTTTTAATTTGTATTACATAGTATCATCGTTTATTAGTTTTGATTTAACCACTTATTTTATTAAAACACGTTAATTGAGTCTTTATGTCGTAAGCATTGTGTTAAGTTTAATTGGGTGTAGAAAGATGAATTAGATACGGTCCTTACCAATTTGAGGATGAATTTTTTAAGGGGCAGAAGATAAAGCATTAGGCACAAAAGGAAAAAAAAAAATGAATGTAGAAAGTACTAACCATAAGTTTTCTGTTAGAACTTGCATAAGTGTTGTTAAGGACCTTTCTACACTGGTGTCCTTAAACTTATGTGTATGTGACCTACTTAGGATTCTTGTTAAAAGACAGATTATAATTCGTGTGTCAGAGTAAGCCTGAGATTCTGCATTTCTAGTAGGCACTCAGGGGATGCCAGTGCTCATGGATCATGATTGATATTTAGAGGAGTAAGTCTCAATATTGTTCTTTGGAAGTAAGAATTGTAAATGTAGGATCTGCATTTAAAGACGTTTCCTGGATATAGTCTTTATTTTTCATCCTAATTACTTCCATAATATAATTAAAACACACTGTTTGGCAATATAAATTTAAATAGACCATAAATTTACTTGTTTTGAATGACTAATTTAGTTGACTTTTGGTTATCTAGGGTTAGATTAAATGGTATGCAGTTAGCCATGGTATTAAATAACAGTGGGCTTGGTATCATGAAGAATTGAAATTACAGTAATGTACGAAAACATTAATATATTTATACTACATTCTGTTTAGAATTACTTGGCACCTACTCTAGCTTGGGAAAGTTACTTGATCTCAGCTGTCCAAGTAATTTTTGGGAGCAGTGCCTGCTTTCTCTTCCAGTCTCTAAGAAACAGTGGGAATTACATATGGGAATTACAGAATCTACACAGAGGTTGTGCTGTGATTGGTGGGGATTTCTAACATATTGGCTGCAAATACTAATGTAGTTACAGTTCTTTTCAACATTTGTATGTGTTCTTTCAAATGGTAAATGTATTCTGAAATATAGGATGTGAATTATAGCTGAATTAGTTTAAAATGTCATTTTATATGGCGTTTGAATTAGGACTTTGGATATGTGGGACCTTTTTCTTCTGCTCTTTTTGGCTGCTTAAAAATTATTTCTTTACATAAACATGAATGCACATGCATACATGTGGGCAAACAATGTATGTAGTATGATCCCAGGTTTAGCATTTCAGCTTCAGAAGTCATGTGATAAGTTTTGAAAACTTAAGCTCTGAGTAAATCATAATTATGGACAATTATGAAATGTTGAGAAAATCCTTTAAAATAATTTTGTAGAGTTCATTTTTTCTATCAGATACATGTTTATTTAAAAGTAAAGTACTATAAAGTACATTTAATCTTTTACTTTTTAATTCCTATGGCATAAATGGTAACAAAATGCAGTGGTCCAATATAGTATTAATTAGCAATAGCTGATTTTTCAAGTACCTAACTTAAGCAATAGCATTTAACGTAGGAAATTTATTTTTATCCTTAATTAAACATTAGATATTGTGTGGATTTTTTTTTTTTTCCAGAGAACCAGAGGACGAAAACGAAGCTTCGTTCCTGAGGAAGAAAAACATGAGGTTGGAATAAGTTAAGCACTTTTACCCAGTCTTAACTTTGAGAAATTTTCTTTCTTAAAATTGTTTCCCTCATATCCTTATTTTGTTTTATGTTTTATTTTATTATCCCTTTTATGGCAGGAAAGAGTTCCTAGAGAGAGAAGGCAAAGACAGTCTGTGCTGCAAAAGAAGCCCAAGGCTGAAGATTTAAGAACTGAATGTGCAACTTGCAAGGGAACTGGAGACAATGAAAATCTTGTCAGGTAAGTTGGATGCTAAAACCTTGTCTTTAGGGGATTAAGGTTTCATGTGTATTATTTTCTCATCACAGAAAAAATGTAAAAAAAAATTGCAGGGTAGGACCTTTCTTAAAATATTGTTTAGTGGAAACAGTACTTCAGAAACAGATTTCATCCACTTATTAACCTCCCATGCATGGTTATACTCTGGATTTAGATGTAAATAATCTGCATTTTTAACACAGGAAATTATTTTTCTCTTGACAAGAGAAGTTGACAATGGTCTCTATTTAGAGGCCATAAAAGTAATTTGATCTAAACACTTTGTACTAAGATTATTATATTTTATGTCAAAACAACGAAATTACTAAACTCTGTTAGCATATTCTAAATGTTGAAATTCATAAGCAATGGTGAGAAGACAGACTTTTTATTGACAAGAATTTAATTAGCACTTTCTTATTGCTTATTAAAACAAATGTGTTAAATGCTTCTCCCTGACGAAATAAAGAAAGGTGAAAAGATGGCCTAGGTAGATTTTATTTTTTGTTTTGTCTCTGTTTCTTTGTTTCGTTTTGTGACTTTTTTTTAAAAATCAGACATAACGCTAATCGGGAATCTTAGCTGATGCTGCACATTGGCTCTTCCCAGCGGCCCAGAGACTGCTAATTTTAGCTGAAATGAAGAAATTGATCAAAGCTCTGGGTGAGATGGGGGAGTGAGTAGGTGAACAAAAAGAGAGCTAATTTAAAAGAGGCGTCAGACTTTCAAAGGACAGTGGCACAAAGGTTCTTAGAGTTCTTATAGGGACTTTGTAAGGGAACCCGTTCTGATTTCTTTAAAAAATTGTCTTCTGGTAAAGCCCTGTTAAATTAACTGAGGACACAGAAATTAAACATTTCAAAAAGAATAAACATATTGATAAAACAAATGTTAGTGTTATGTTTTTAAATATTTATTTCCAAATGATGTAATCTATTTCTGTCATTAAGAATATAATTTGTCTTAATTTATCTAAGAAAGGCTTGAAGCCTTAAATTTTATACCACCAATGAGAAAGATAAAGTAAAAATTACAGTAAAGACAAAGGCCTTCAACAAAGTTAAGAAAGTTTGTAGTAATTGGCTAATGTTTTTTAGGCAGTTCATGTAGAATGTCTTGGGAGCTATCCTGAAGGTTAAGTTTACTAAAATTTAGGGTAAAGTAGTAAGTAGTTCCAAGTTCAGGAGATACACATGAATAATTCTGACTGCAGTATGATTTTTCCAGTATGTCAGAAGTGAAATCCCAGGCATAAGCAAAACATAATGGAGTAAATGAAACAACAAAAATAAAAAAAATAATCTTACGTAATGAACAATTTAATTCAGGAAAATTCCCTTGGGGTTGACGATGGAGTTGAGGACTATGATTAATTTGAAATAGTAGTTAAAAACTTAGAGAGCTTGTGATCCTCTTATTAATTGTTTGAACCTATATAAGTATCTACTGTATCTTACTGATTTTTTTTTTTTTTTAAATACGAGCTTGATTGAGGCCTTTTTGCTGGAGGACTTGTAAGTTTTTGTCAGGTTTTTTTGTTGTGCTTTTGTCATGTGTTTGAAATTAGGAACCTGAAAAATACAATTTTTATTTTAAAAACCAGTTTATGATAGATTTCCAGCCTGTCATATTTTAGTTGTTTAATAGAAAAAGTACCTTCTAATTTTGATAAGATATTTGATTAGTATTACTCTCTATTATTTATTTCTTTAGTTTCTGTTATAAAATTTTTATTTCTAATTGAATTATTACGATATGCCAATGTCTGGAATTTTATGAAAGTCTTCTGTAAGGTAAAGATATTTTCATTACTCTGAAATAATGGATATACAAAGTCCCCTTCCTTGGTTTTGTTTTATTAAGAAGATAGCATCATAAATTTTGTGCAATGTTTTAAAGAGGTAATGTAGAGGAAATTAAATGTTTTATTGATACTATATTTTAATATTTTTTAGGACAAGATAAACTGGATATAAAGCAATGTCATAAAATATTTTTGGACATAATGTGATCTTTAAAAAAAATACATTGTTTAAGCACTATTCTTCTTGGGTTAAAGAATTTTATATAAAATTTCATATGTTTAATAAAAGCAATCTCATAAGCCAATATCTGCCATTTTCCCTGGCATCTCATATTTTGAAATTGGCACTGTTACTGTTTGATAATCAAGCCCGAAAAGTCTACACTTTTTTATTACATCTTGAATATTATCTATACGTGCTATTTTTAAACTTTCAAATAAGGTATTTTAAATAAGGATTTTTTTTTCTCTAAAGATATATTTCAGTGCTTACTCAGAGATATGTGTATGTCTGTTAGGTTCTCTTTTAAAATTAAACTTCATGGGTCACAATCTTTTATTTAATATACTGCGTTTACTTTGTCAACTTCTTTTAAACTAATGTTTACATCTCACTAGAACCTGCTCTTCAGCAGTTTTGATTTTTGAAACCACACTTCTCTATGTAATTCAGGCTATATAGAAAATTCCTTCTTAATTTTCCTTGCTTTTTAAGTTATTGGTACATGTTTATTTGTGAATTTACAAGTATAATTTGTTTATATCATTGAAGAATTGCATGCAATTTGTCAGTAAACTGTAATTAGTAGGTTTCGACTCTTATTTTCTGCTTTGCCTGTTTTTCTGGGAACTTTGGCAAATAATTTAGCATTTCTGTGCCTTGGTTTTCTCCCTGTTGGACATGATCACAATCATACTGTGCTTCATTAGGTACCTTATGAATAACTGCTGAGTGATAGTAAGGTTCTTTTCATATGAAATGTTAGAACAGTAGTATTATTTAGTAACACATAATACATGTATGTGTGTCACAATTGGTAAATATGTTTCCAGTTATAGTAAATATTTATTTTTTATGTCAGAAATGTACATGTCTTGTTTTTGTATATAATTTTGTCCAGAATCTAGGAGACAAAAAGAAATTTGTCATTATATGTTTTCTAAAATGATTAGATTGAAGGTTTATAGCATCTCGGAATTTTATTTCATTTTTTTAAGTGCATACTTTTTGCCATCTGCTTTTAAAATTTAATTAGAAATTATCTGAGAAGTTTTCTACTAAATATGTATTTCTTCAGGTTATTTTATGTAATCTAAATGCTAAAGGCCAAATTGAAACTATTTCATGGAATTGCAAGGTCTTTTTAGGCTCTGTGATAGGTCATTGTTGAACATAGTTATGGAACTACTTAGTGATACCTAATTTATTTTTGTTTCCACAGTTCATGATACATTCAATACTCAGAAAATGCTTGATAAATGAACTCTACATGAGTAATGACTGAGTATTCTTTTGCTGAATTTAAAAAATCTGTCACTGTTATAATTCAATTCTAGAGCAAATTGAGTCATAAAATAAAATGTTTGATGAAGATACCTAAGGGCTTAATAAAGGGTAATTGATTTTTGCTGCTAAAATGTAGTGGTTAGTTTTTCCTCCCCTGTATTTTAAGTAAATAAATAGATTTGAGATGCGTCTGAAAAGTAGAAATAAAGTGATTCCTTGAAAGGGAAGAGGGCCTTTATTCTCTCTCAGTCTTTATCCGACTATCAAATTAGGAATAACACCAAACTTCTAAACCTCAAATTTTATCTTAACTACATGAACTCAGTGTGGTACATTTTATTACTTAATCAGAGATAGGAGAGAGAAAAAAAAAGGCTTCCTAAAGCTAACAACCCTGTAATCCATGAGCCCTCTTAAATAGCATCTTTAATTTTATTTGGTATTGTGGCCATAACTCAGAAGCATTGAGGGTAGGAGATGATCTATTAAGCTATTTCACTTTTGTAGCTAATTCTACACTATTAAATGCTTGCCAGAGTCTCCCCTTTATTTGAGTATTTGGCAAATTATATAGGTATTGAACCATTTTGGTTACAAGGGTAGGGTGTCAATTTGGTCTCTAAACGTTGTTGTTAAGACTTTTATTTATTTCACATTTAAAAATCTGGCTTGTCAGTGTATCCTCACAAACTAAATTTGATTGTATCATAAATTATTAGGATGATCAGCAAGAATTTATATATATTACAGTTTAATTTCAAATACTAGACTCTTAATATTCTGAACCTAGAGTTTTCATTGTGGAAAAGTTTTTGATAATAAATTCAACATTTAGAACAAATATTTCCTTTCATTTTGTGTCATTTTTGGTAAGCTGTTTGTTTGTTTTTGTTTGAGACAGGGTTTTGCTCAGCTGCTTAGACTGGCATGCAGTGGCACGATCACAGCTCACAGCAGCCTGAACTCTTAGGCTCAGGTGACCTTCTTTTCTCAGCCTCCTTGGTAGCTGGGACTACAAGTGCATGCCACCATGCCCAGCTATTTTTTTTTAATCTTTTGTAAAAATGAGGTTCTCACTATGTTACCCATGCTGGTGTAGAACTTGTGAACTTAAGCAGTTATCCATCCTCAGCCTTCCAAAGTGCTGGGATTAGCGACTGTACTCGGCTAAACTGTGTTTTTCAAGGAACGTATTGATTTCATGTCATTTGCCAGTTGCTTCTTTCTTGTGGTCAGCACCATGGTTTTTTCTTCAGTCATACTGATCTTTTCAGTGTTCACTGTAACTATTTGCGTAGGACTTTTCTGCTGTCTGTAATGTATTTCAGCATATTTTCTTCTTCCTTCTAAGCCTACGTCAGTGTTGACTTCCTTCATGTAGTCTTCCTGACTTAAATGGCTTCATATTGATTGTCTTGCATTGATTGTCCTTGGAACCCTCATAAAGTCCCTTGTCATGCTGTGATCCATTTTGCTTGTAAGTTGTGTTATTATTTCTGTCAATTAATTTACTTTTCCATGAGGTGAGTCTAGCATCTGAGCCTTCTATTTATTTCTAATGACCCTGATAGTCTAATACAGTATGGCTCAGGCAGTTAATTCAGCATAAATGCCTGTTAATTTACTGATTATGCTACCATATTTGTATACCTTTGCAACTCTATACAATTA